GCTACTTGTAATTAGCTATAAAGCAACTATATAGTTACTTTGTAGTAATTATACTTTACGTTTACTGTAAGTTAGCAATACGCCTACTACTACGTTACTACGATTTTACTACAATTTTACTATACTTTTACTATAATTTTCAAAAAAAGTTTTAATAAAATCGTAGTAAAAATATAGTAAAATAATAGTTTTCTAACAAATTTTAAAAAAACTTAATAAAATTATAATAAAATTATAGTAAAATAGTAGTATTGCTAACTTATAGCATTAAAGTTGCAAATTTGCAAGTTCCAGTAAAGTTATAACGAATAATAAACTCTACTATGGCTTATAAAACAAATAATTCAAAGTAAGTAGAATTACATTTATTTAAGAATTTTATATATCAAAAATGTAGTGAACAAATAAATGATTTATAGCTAAAATTATACAAAAAAATTAGTATTGTATATAGATTATTCTTATGAATATTCATTGCTAAATTGTTCTAATATTCACTATTTTAAGGTGTTTATCAATAGTCAAGGCTCCATCAGATATTGCGCATGACAAATATTTTATTTTAATAAGACTTTCATAACCAATTAAAAATTGTTAAATAAATTACAGGAAGTTAGTATAAATTTTAAAAAATATTTATTTACCAAATCTAAAGGTTAACTAATATATTTAACGACATATTAATTACAGCATGTAAGCATAATTTTCAAAAATTATTATCAAACAAAACATACAATAAACTAATAAACTGCAAATTTTTTCATAACAATCTATTTGCTATACATAGATAATTATCGCAACAATGGCGCAAAAGATGCCAGAAAATCTCCAAACATCATTAGAAAAAGCAATAAATAAGGTGAAAGAATCAAAAATTTTAAAAGAAGTAATAAGTGATTTGAAAAACTTACCGGAAATATCTGATAATCAAGAAGTTAAAAAATATTTTCAAGAACTTGATCAACAACTTAAAGAATTTGAGGAAAAAGTTTTGAAAATCAAAAATTTTAATATGATTGATTTAGCATTTGATATTCTTTTTAGTTTAGCTAGTTTAAAAACTGAATATTTTTTATTTATTGAAAAAGTGAATAGTCTTGACTTAGAAAGCACTTTTTCAAATGAAATTGATTGGTTAATTGGTGAAATTGATAACCATTTAAAATTTTTGCCTAAATGGAATAATTGTTGTATCAAGATTACTAACCAATTTGAAGATCTTAATAATTTTGTTAATAATATTAAAGATAGTTTGACCCTATGCGTTGACGAAGTCACGCTAGGGTTATTATCGCGAGGATCACCCATTCGAATAAGTGTAACCCGAA